GGCACGATTAGCAGCCGCAGAACATCAAGAGGCAACAGATTAAGCCATCTCGCACATCGGTAAAAGACATTATTACGCGACATACGCGCTTTTCCTGGTAAATGGGTTCCAAACCTGCGAGCAATATTCGACATGCAGCAAAACACAAGCTTTGTAAAGGCGTATAAGCAATGCCACATCGGAGGACTGCACACTACGAAACAAGACGAATAAGTTCCTGGACGCTTTCTCCACCGCTTGCTCAATGTGGAGTATAAACTTTAAGCTTGGACCAAAAAGCACACCAAGATCTGTGATGGATTGGTAAGCTGCAAGCTGAACACCATTTACGTGGTGGGGAGATGGTTGAAAGTCACCAAAATGCATGGTCACGGATTCATTCAAATTGAGAGGAATGTCCCAGTGTCCAGCCCAGTCAGCCGTTCTTTGAAGAAATACCCTCAGAGCGTCACGAATCATTCCACATTATCCTGATTGTAGATCGCATATACCTTAATGTCATCGGCGAGGGCGGTTCACCAGTAGGAAGCTGGGAGGGTAACCTTAATAAAACGGGGGCGCTTTCGGTCGAGCACACCCATGCGATACACCTCGGAGGAGCGGCATTCGACGTTCGGCGCATTGAGTACCTTAGAAACCCTCTCCTCCAGGTCTTATTAACGTTCGGACGGGCGGAGCTCATCACCTGCCTACTGAAGACCATAGTGTAAGCCTCAGGGCTTTTCCATTCAATCGATAGGCGATGTTTACGACCCTGCTTCTGTTCTAGCCTGCGCAGAAACGTTCACACGCTCCGATGAAATGTACTGATTACAGGCTTCTCGGAGAGCTTAGTATAAAGCGCGTGATCAGGCGCCAACAAGGAACTCGCCGTCACAACCGCCGCTCGACCTATGGTCATCAACGGCGGATACGCCTATCGTCTGACAAACCGTCGCAGTCGTCAGCACGCCTTATGGAGATCGTCCTGTTAGCTCTAATTCCTAAAAAAATTGTTGTATTAGATGGTGTCGCTACAGCTTATCGGAGGTGCCTAGAACCAAACTATAGATAACAATGCTCCAAGCCTTTTTTCGCTTTTAATGGATCCGGAATTCGCTCGGAATTTTTTCCGACAGGGCGCTGAGGAGAGGTTCGAGGAGGGAATCCTTATTACGCTCGATGATGGCCCTGTGAAGGTCAGCCGCTGAGATTTTATCCTAATCGAGCTGATGCTCCTGACGCACGCAACTCAGCAGGAATCGCATCATGGAACATCAAGGCATGACTCGTTAGAAGAAATTTCCTTTTCAGCTCTGCGCTGAATTCTGGCCATTATAGCTCGTAACTATGATCTGTTGATTTTCGGAAAAGGAGTCGATAACGGGACGCGAAAGAAGGAATAACAACAAACAAACAATTAAACGAACGAAAAAAGAAAGGAAAAACAATAGAGTGCTGATAAAGCGTCTTGAAAAAGTAAAAGAAGTAAAAATCAGTGACTCCACAGGAGAAATAGCTACAGAAGTCGTTGAAAAACAGCCGAAAAGAGAGCCAGCAAAATCGACCGCCTCGTAGACTATATGTATACAAATATGAAACTTATCTCGGCAATCTGAAACCTCCCCATTCCTCCCTAACTACACATCTTTACTCGACATCTAATCCAGCAGTCCACCGGACGAAGTGATGACACTCGACACAATATGCAAGAACCAAACTCGATTCGAGGAAACAGAACACAAAAAAAGAATTAGCTTTTAATGAACTACCAAAGCAATATGACATCACATAAAACTCACACAATTCTCGTCGGAGACCGGTTCATAGTAAGAAGGTTGATATTGTAGTAACCGAAAGATATTCCAAAGGCCGAAGCCTTGCGGGAAGACATCCAAGACACGTCGAGACAGAGATGAGTGAAAAGGGCGAATGTCAGGACTGCGACGAGACGCGACCATGTTCGATTATAGGGGTCAATTGACCTACAACCGTCGGCACATCCGGCGATCCCTCGCAGCGATTCTTGCGACACGCGACAGCTCCTTTGATATGGGTAGTACTGGAACGCGATGTGCGATACTTCCTGACATCCTGACATCACGCGGAGACCTTGTTCGAGCACGGTGATTCGCAGGGAATACCTGACGATCTGCCTCCCTCCAGTTAGTGCTCATGAGGCCATGCATGAAAAGCTGTTTGTCGGAGTGCAGACCTTACAGACTTCTTACTACTTTTGCTCTTACTACTCTTACTTCAGACTTTTTGATAATTTCAAGAGGTAGGAATATTGACCATTATCGATCTACACGCATAAACTTTATAAAAAGAGGTGAAAGAGACAAGAGAATCATTAGCTCCTACAGTTAGACCGATACAGTGGACACATGGGCTCTCTAAACTAGGAACACACATTTCGCCGTCTTCGGGCTTTTCGAAGATAGTCATCAGCATATCGACGAGTTTCGTCATCTCAAACAGCTGCATGAAGTAATCAGAAAAAATCAAAAAGCTGAAAATACTGGTAGGTTTTCCTGAAGAAAAGGGATGGTAAGGAGCATAAGGAAGTAGCTGTGTCCTGCATCAGAATTGATAGAGACGCTCTTCTAATATGTGAGGATAGAAGCAGAGAAGCAATGCTCGAAAATTGATGATTTTGGAGGCAACAATCCGAAAATACGATTTAACGAAACAGCGACGGACCCACGTGGCAATTGATTATGATCTGCTGCGCGGCGGGACCACTCAACAGTGTCGTCTCGATTGCGATTCGTCTCTAAAACATTTTACTCTAAAACAATTGTTTTGCATAATATTTTGATTCATAAAATGGTAATATCAATGAAAAGAGATGGGTACATGAATAATATTTAGCATACATCCTTTTCTTTTTCCAGCGATCAATGTGGCGTTTTCTTGACTTTAAGGGACGTATACATACCCCAAGTATATTGGTAACTAAGTATGATTACTTAGACATTTACTAATATAAATATAATATTAAAAATATGTTATATACCCACCTTATTTTCTCAAATTGGATTGGGTTCTGGGTAGGATAACAGAACATGGAAGAATACACAGTGCATACGGTACTATGGGCAATTTGCGATTGTTCTATAACATTGTTACTCTTAAGTGCAATTGTTTCGCATAATACCTAATTCGTAAAATGGTAATATCGATAATGGGAGATGGGTACACAACTTAATAATATGGCATAACATCTATTAACAGCAATCAATATGGCGACATCTTGATCTTAAGGAAAGTGCACATACACTAAGTACATTAGTAACTTTGTATGAATACTTATGCATTTACCAACATAAATGTAATATCTAATAATATATCCTATATTAATCTTTTTTTCTCAAATTCGATTATGCGTTCGGAGTAGGACAATGGGGTGTGAAAGAATGCACAATTTTCGCCGATACTGATGGCTATTACGGCGTCTTCAACACATAATTACACTATAATGCAGTTGTTTCAATAATATCTTGATATACAACATGGTAATAACAGTGGAGTGAAGTGGGCATATAAAAAAAACGAAGAACAATAACTACTATCAGCAATCAATACGGCGTCCACTTGACCTTAAATGACATCTATATTCAAGTATACGGTAACCAATCTCATATTGGAGCTGATTATGTTTATTTGAATAAATTCAAATATTGTATTTTCTAGAAAAAGCTGTAATCAATCAGTTTGTACAAAGCTAGGATTGGAGCAGTTATGTGATATAACTAGGTTGCTTAGTAGTTCGATATCAATTGTATATTCCAAACTATGAGTGAATTTTTCGTAAGCAATTGTACTTGATATTTATATCTTATCATTACTATTGTTTAAATAAATAAGGTCATATTGCAGGTCGAAATTACTGTTAAGTTAGGTAATATATTTCAAGAAAGTTTCACCTTTATAAGGTGTATTGTAGCCTGTAGTCCATATTTTAGCAAATATATAGAAAATATTAACTATGTTAAATGTAAAATTTAAAAAAAGCCAGAAATATAATGGAATGAATATGGATAGAGCACTCATAAATAGGTAATTTTGGTTTGTGCACATTCGATTTGTAGTAGCATATAATATTCTTATGCACGCGTTTTGTAAATATAC